AAATAATAATGAGAAACTATATCTAAAATTTAAAATTCAAGCACAAAGTATTGTGTTTAAGTACAAAAATAGATATTATATTGGTTGGACTATTTGTTAAGAACTAAAAACTTAAATTTAAACATAATAAACTATAAATATGTATAGAGATAAATTAGTAAATATGAAAATATACAAGCGTACATGTAAATAAATACATAAATTAGTATATATAAAAATATATATGTATATATACTAAATGTAGCGGGCCGGGCTTATCGGCCCGAACGGGCCTACACCCTAACCCAAGCCCGCCCATATGTTGTTGCGGGCCGGGACCGGGCCGGTGGGTAAATATATATGCCCAAGCCCGCTAATTTGTGTGGGCGGGCTGGCCCGGTTTTGTACAGGTCTAAATAACATCCACATAATTTGTCTTTCTCTAATTTTTGTGCCTGTTTCTCACATCCCAATCATAATACAACAAATTACAAAATTAATGGTCGGTTCCTTTACCTCATACTCTCTATTCAATAATTAATAGAGGTGCCCTTATGACTATTGTAAACTTAGAGATTGAGTTATTTTATTTATATAAGGCAAAATTTTGACATCTTTAACTTTTCAAGTGAATATAATGGTGGTAAATTTTGAATAATGATTTTGATTAATATATTTTTATGAAAGTACTAAATTTTATACTTTTATGAAAGTATTTTCAACAAAAAACATTTCCATATCATTTGTATAATTTTTACTTGTTGGTCAAAGTTTGACTTGATTAATAAAATGTTTTAAGTATGTCAAAGTTAGGGGGTAATAATACTTATTAATATTGACATACTCCCTAGTTAAAAAAAAATATTTAAATTGATACTCCCTAGTTGATAGTACTAGGGGTGGACAAAAATACCAAACCGGCATGGTACCGAACCGAACCGGTATAGTACCGGATTGAAAAATGGGGTTTGAAACGGATCTCAAATTTTTTGTCCTGAACGGGACCGTACCGTTTCTAAGCAATGCCATGACTGGTTCTCATAAAATGAGAATAGCTACCGGACCGAACTGGACCGAAGTATTTATAATTAATTAAATTTACATTTATAACATTACTTTGAATAGCGCCATCACATTTTCAATTCCTTTGTTAGTTCATAGGAAGCCTGGAATCTGATCGATGTAAGGTTTAATTATTTAAATTGGTACTACTATAGTTTATCTGAAATTTATTAATGGGAAAATCACACTTTTAGTCCCTAAAATAGTCAGGAAATTGAAATGTCAAACCTGTGTTCCCAAGTTTGTAAATGTCGTCCCTCAACTGTCCAAAATATTGTTAATGTGGTCCTTTGAGGGGTGAAATATACAATGTGGGCGAGAGTATATTTCACCACTTAAAGGACCACATTTACAACAATTTGGACAATTGAGGTGTGACATTTACAATCTCAAAAATACAGGTTTGACATTTCATTTTGGTGACTATTTCAGGGACCAAAAGTGCGATTTCCCCTTTATTAATTATGTAAGATTACCTCAGTTCCAAATTGATTCGCAAAATTAACTTTTCTTAGTTAAATATTTCATTTTATTCACTTAATTAAGATGTCAAATTTTAATTATATTTAATTCCGAGTTTGCAACTTTGAAGAGATTTTAATGTAGTTTTTGAATATGTAAATTTTAATTGTTAAAAATTGAATTAATTATCAATAAAGAGGATTTAACTTTAACATTGGTTGACCAAAAGATATTGACTTTGCATATCAATTTGGGATGGAGGGAGTATGAAATTGATAAAATGTGTGGAATTTTGTAGAATGGCTAAACTTTAATTTCTCCTTAAACACTTGAAAAAAATGGCATTGTTTGGTATTGGTATGACATGGTACCATCCCGTTTGAAAATGGAACCGTACCGAATGGATTTAGGTCTAAGACCGAACCAAACCGGACCGTTTGAATAGTAGCGGTACGGGTTCAGGTCCGGCCAAATATTGGACCAGATCGGACCGCGCCCACCCCTAGATAGGAGGCCTTGTAGAATTCTAGAGTGGGTGATTTTTGAATTGACTAATTGAATATGAAGACTATATGTACGATTAGTAGTTTTTGTTGTTTAAGAGTTGTAGTTTTGTGTGTGGATTTTTTATTGATAAAAAAAAACTTCTCGTTTTTTATTGACAAAAAAACTTTTTGTGCTATTAGTTGTGTGTGGATTATTTTTTGTTTAAGAGCTCCGTAATTTTTTTTTTTGATTTTTTATTGATCAATAAACTTCTCGTTGCAATAAATATTCTTGTTAACGTTTGTGGTGTTTATTATTTTGTTTTAATCTTTCGATGCTAGTACTTGGATGTTTTCTTTTGGACTGAAATTTGCTGGTCTAGTCTGGTCTGATCTGGTCTGGTCTGATATGGTCTGGTCTGGTCTGGTCTCTGTGTATTTATAACTACGAAAGACTAGTCTGGTCTGGTATGATCTGGTCTAGTCTGGTCTGGTCTGGAACTGAAAATAATCCAAAAGAAAACATCTTTGGTTTGTCCTATACATGTAGAAAGAAGCCAACATTGAATTTGATACACGATTTTTACTTGAATTGATTTTAGTCGATAGTAAATTGGATCACATCTGACTTAAATGTGTCTTAAGGAGAATATATTATACTCCCTCCGTCCCAAAAACAACTTCCCACTTTCCTTAAATGGATGTCCCAAAATTAACTTCCCACTTCAATACTTTCCTTATTTGGCAAATTATCTACATAAAAAAAGTGATAAACAGTGCCAAACAGTGTTTAAACAGTGCCAAACAGTGTTTAAACAGTGCCAAACAGTGTTTAAACAGTGCCAAACAGTGTTTAAACAGTGCCAAACAGTGCATTCTACAGTAAAGTCAAATTTATTTCCTAAATATGTGTGTAGGTCAAACCGGGAGGTTGTTTTCGGGACGGAGGGAGTATTATTTTAAACGTGTCAATTTAGTCCTTGTACTTTCATTCAAAAGTCTATTATGTCCTCGCATTCTTAAAAAGATCAACCAAATCCCCGAAGATTGTAAAAACGTTCAATTGAGTTCATTTGCGGGTTATTTGCCATGTCACCAGGTCACTTGCTGATGTGGCGCACATGTGGCAGCCCAATCAGCAATAATTTTGCTGACATGGCACACATGTGGAAGTCCAGTCAGTCATTTGCCAATGACGTGGCACACACGTGGACCACCATGTGTGTGCCATGTCAGCGGGTGACCTGCTGACATAGCAAGTAACTTGCAAATGGATTTAATTGAACGTTTTTACAAAGTTCGGGGATTTGAATGTTCTTTTTAAAAGTACGAGGACCAAATTGACAGTTTTCCCGAATGTATAAATAAATACCTGAATATCAAATTCTGATGAGTTGAGCTTCAAAAGATACAAAAGGGCGGATATATCATCGGTTTCAGCGTCCATATCCAACAGAATCCGGTGAGGCGGCGGAGTCTGCGCGGCGGCCTGGTAGGCACCAAGCAACGCTGTCCCGGCCACCGCTGCTATAACCACCAACACAAACCCGGCCTCCACCACCGATTTCGATGCCTTCCCATTTCTCATCATCACGTATATTCAACAAAACACCCACAAATTAATGTTCTCCGTACCTCAATGCTCCCATAAATGACTATTAAACAAATGCAGAGTGGAGAATGAGTGCCTTTCCTTACTGGAATGAATTCATAAGAAATGGACCTCGTATATTAATTTATAGGAGCATTGGAGGGCATAATAATAGTAGTAGCTTTTCACTTCCCAAAAAAATAGTAGCTCGTCACCATAAGTAAAATATATACTAGTTCCTCCATTTTCACTCTACTTTCTTTGTCAACCCTTCTCTCTTTTTACTTTGTCTTCATTTTCTTTTGTACGATTAAAAAGTGGGATTTTTACAATATTTCTACTTAAAGATTATATATGGTCCGAAATCAGACCGATGGATGTTTTGCTTTTTGGGTTAAAAATAGAAATTTCTCAATCTTTATATAAAGTAACAGAGTCACAAGTTTTTACTCCAAAAATGCCGCCCAAAATGAACAAAAGATATTTAAGGTTAGCTTTTCAATTTAGTAATGAATCTTTTATAGCTCATGCACTAATAGTAGTAATAAAATGATGTACTAATAGTAGTAATAAGAAAATTTTTAAAATTGGGAAAACTATCAAATAAGCCCCAGTACTATACTGAAAAAGTCGATTAGGCCCTCGTACTTTACAAACACTCAATTAAGTCCTCGAACTATTAAAAAGCGTTCAATTAAGCCCTTTCGTCGGTAAGTAACCGGTTTCCCGGTTAAACGTGACCTGTTTCCCGGCAGCCGCCGTTGCTAGGGTTCGAGCACATCGTCACCGTCATCGCCGTTTAACCGGGAAACCGGTTACTTACCGACCAAAAGGGCTTAATTGAACGTTTTTTAATAGTTCGAGGACTTAATTGAGTGTTTGTAAAGTATAATTCACATTCAAGTCAAACACTTCGTATAAATCAACTAAAATCGGCTGATTTGGTTGATTCTGCTGAAATTTATGAAGTTCTGGCTGAATTGGCTGCATTGGCTGATTTTGCTGATTTAAGAAAAAAATATTTTTGAAATATATTTTATTAATAAAAAAATTGATGCGTAATACTCCCTCCATCTCACTAAAGTTGTCTCATCTTTCCTTTTCGTTGCGTCCCAATTAGATCGTCTCTTATCAAATTTGGTATAGTTTGTGTGGTTTTAAACCAATCTTCTTTTATTCTTACTTTATCAATTCAATATTAACCACATAAACACATTTTTTTAACAATCTTGTCACTTCCTCATGTCCCAATGTTAGTGGGATGTATGTAATATTAATTATATTCCCAAATTTTAAAAATAGTGTATAAATCACTCATTACTTAGGGATAGAGCAAAGACAACATATCTTACTACTACGGGTGCCTACTCAACATTTGATTTTTTATGGTAAAAATCCTAATATTAAGCCAGGTGAGAAGAGGGGAACTGTAAAGTTTCAAAGTAAGGTAAAGGGTCTCATTCTAGACAGTCACCAGTGTAGAAACATGTCCACTAAACCTATATAAAACAAGGTAATAATATATAGGGAAAACTATCAATTTGACTCTCGTACTATGGGCGAACCGTCAATTACGTCCTCGTACTTTAAAAACACTCAATTTAACCGTTGAACTCCAAAAAAAACGCCCAATTAAACCCTTTTACCCGGTAACCATCCCGTTTCCCGTTAACACATCTCATGTGGCAGGCCACGTGGTGGCACACATGGCATTTCCTTTTTCTTTTTCTTTTCTTTCTTCCTCAGCAATTGTACGCCTCACCTTTCCTTTCTTCTTTCTTGTACGCAGACAGCTCCCATTCTTCAGAGCACACCCCGGTCAGGCAACAAACAAGGAGCAACTTCGCCGGAATCGAACAGAGATGAACACGATGTCTGCCGTATTCACTATTGGAGGCTACTGCCCATCGGACTCAACCTCAATGTCGCCGGAAATCTCATCGCATCCGGAATCCGCCCGGGAAAAGAAGAAACGAACAGAAGAAGCCAAAGAGGGATTCCGTTCGAGCAGTGCAGATGCGGTTCTCCATCGTCTCCCTCTCAAAGTCTCCGTCTGAAAACATAAGAAGAGGCACCAAGATCCGCCGGACGGCCGGAGTGTAACCATCAATGTCGTCGCCCTCCAATTACCCTCGTATTCCACCAGTTAATTTCATACAAATTCTGAGAGAGAAGACCACTAAGTGAAAGAAAAGGGGCGGCAGGCTGCTGGAGCCCTAAAGAGAAAAGAGGGATATAGAGTTGCAGGCTTGAGGCGTGAAACCTGGGAGAAAGAGGAGGAAGAAAGAGAGAAAGGAAAGAGGATAGAGAAAATAAAAAAGAGAAAACCAAAGGGAAAAAAGAAAAAGGAAATGCCACCTAGCCTGCCATGTGAGATCTTAACCAGGAAACCGGATGGTTACCGGGTAAAAGGACATAATTGAGCGTTTTTTGGAGTTCAACGGTTAAATCGAGTGTTTTTAAAGTATGAGGGCGCAATTGACAGTTCACCCATAGTACGAGGGTCAAATTGATAGTTTCTTCCTAATATATATGCCATATATATCAAATCTATAATTCTATTGAAATAATTACATAAATATGACCAAAATAAAGATGGTTTACAAAAATATGATTAGTTACTAGAGTAGTAATGAAATCATAGTAATTCATGTTCAAGTTTTGAACTTAAGTTACCACAACACTACGTTGTAGTAATGAATAATCATATTTATGTAAATAAGTTTTATTTTAGTAATATTCTTGTAAAAAATCTAATTCTATTAATCTCATTTAAATTATGATTTATCTAAAGTACATATGAAACATTCAACCCCTAAATCAATTTTCTGGATTCATATGCCTAGAAAGTATAATCTGTATTATAGATGAATGCACAACTAGCTCTCATTATTTAAGATGTTTCGTTGGGGTTTAGTAGTGCACCAAACCCCCTTATCATATAGAAAATATGGGCATTAGATTAAAAAATGTTTCAAACCTTCATGTGTTATCATTATTCATGCGCATAAACCCTTCTATATTATATTATAAACAAATTTAATATCAAATAAAAGATAAATAATAAACATTTGTGTGTAATTTAGAGATTTTGACAAATTCACTTGCATATTTAATCATAATATTAAGAAAAATGATTTCCGAATTGTTAAAATTATTCATAAAAAGAGTTTTACACATTGATCGTTACTCGTATAACACATGAAAATTTGACATATTTTCTAAATGAGGCTAATGTGCTAAATTTCGATGGAATATACTACCTCCGTCCATTTTTTATTGAGACGGAAGAGGGTGACACGAGTTTTAAGAAAAGTGGATTTGTGTGATTGATATTAATTGATAAAGTAAGAATAAAGTAAGAATAATTTTGAGTCACACGAACTTTACCAAATAAGGTATGAGACAATTAAATAGGGACATCCCAATATGGTAAAACGAACATTTAAAAGGGGACAGGGAGTAATACGAGTATATTATAATGGAGTTTGATGCATTGTTTGCATACGAAGATCATCCACACAATCTTTTGCGCGTTGAAGCACCGTTGATTTTCTCCTGAACACAGTTTTTGTTCGTTTATAACAGTAATTTTTTTAATCATTATCCTAGATTTGGCATGGTGGGGTAAGATATGCTCTCGCAAGTCAAAATAAGCTTCCTTCCCTGTAGTTATACCGAGTAGTATTCAAATTTCTTCTTGTCGAGTTCCCTCCTAGCTTTGTTTTCAAACACTTTTACTTAAATTAAAAATTAAAAGTTAAAATCTAGAATCTTCTTTTTATTTTTTCTATTACACAAAAAACACTTATTTTACTAGACACTACCAACTTTTAATTTTCAAAATCACTTTTTTCTCAAACACTATGATGGAAATCCCCTAGACTGGGAATAACCAACGACCTTTACTCACGGTGTAAAGGAAACCTTATTCTATCTCAAGGTGATAGAGGACCGATTTAAGATGTAAATTCTTCTTCTTATTTCTCGTAATCAGATATTGGGTATATATATATATTCCCCTGCTTTAATTGAAATACCAGTAGCCAAATGAAAATCTATTCTAATACTAATACTTTAGTGGATAATAATAATAAATAATAAATAGCAGCAAACTAGTTATTAAAATAAATAGGCAGAACTAAGCCACGTAATCCCACAACTTCACATTACTCCTTCGCAGCCTCTTGCTTTGGCGTTGACCAGCCTCGACCTCGACTTCATCATTGCCTCCTTCCCAAAGACGAACCTTGTCCTCAAGGTTGAAGTTTGCAAACTGTTGTTGTAGTGCCTCAACAAGTTCCCATGTCACCTCTTCTGGACCAAAAGATGCCCATTGTACTAAAGCCTCGTTTGCTTCTCCTGTCGGTGTTCGAACACGCCAAAAACGGATCACCTTTTCAGGTTCAAAAACAGGTTGACCATCTACAACATATGGGGGTAACTGAGGAGTGGTAGCAACCTGTGAACCAATACATTTTTTTAAGAAGTGAGACATGAAAGACGGGATGAATACGAGACTCTGGTGGTAACTCCATCCGGGAGGCCACCTCTCCAAGTTTCTCCGATATAGTAAAAGGCCCATAGAACTTGCAAGCGAGCTTCTGGTTCACTCTCTTAAACACAGATTGCTGACGGAATGCATGGTTGCAATTTTAAGTGTACTCGGTCGCCAACTTCAAACTGTACCTCTCGCCTTCCTGCATCTGCCAGCTGTTTCATTCTATTAGTCACCTGAATCAGGTTCTTCCGCAAAAGTTGGATGATTTATTCTCTAGAAGTGAGTTGACCATCAACCTCGGCTACTGGGGACTCGCCATTGGTATATGATCTCAATATTGGTGGAGCTCTCCCATATAATACCTCAAACGGTGTCATATTGAGAGAACGATGATATGTGGTGTTATACCAAAGTTCAGCCCATGGCAAATGAAAGATTCATCTTGCTCGAAAACCATGAACAAAACACCTCAAATATTGCCCCAAGCACCGATTAACAACCTCCGTTTGCCCATCGGTTTCGGGATGATATGCCGAACTCGTTTTTAATTTCGTCCCTTGTAGACGAAACAACTCCTTCCAAAAGATGCTCATAAAAATTCGATCCCGATCACTAATGATGGATTCTGGGAATCCATGTAGGCGAACTACCTCCTGTACAAAAACTGCTGCAATTTCCTTTGCTGTAAAAGGGTGCCAGAGGCCTACAAAATGGGCATATATTGTAAGACGGTCTACAACGACCAAGATGGTATCCTTTCCCCCTTTCTTTGGCAATCCTTCGATGAAGTCCATACTAATATCGGCCCAAACTGCACTAGGTACTGGTAGTGGTGATAATAAACCTGCTGGACTTAGGCAGTCACTTTTAGCTCGTTGATAAATGTCACATTCACTCACATTATTTTTTATTGCCACACGCATTCCAACCCAACTAAAGACTTTATTTAGTCGTTGGTAGGTCTGCAACCTCCCGGAGTGGCCGCCTTCCTTGGATACATGAAATTCGTCAAGGAGTTGGCGTCGTTGACCTTCATCGTTGGGGACCATCACCTTTCCTTTGTACATCACACACCCTCCTCGCACGTGATAATCGTTGACAGCTGCTAATTTTTGTTGAATCTGAGTACCGATTTCTTGTAAATGGGGGTCCTGCTTTGTTTTGCTACGTATGTCATCCCAAATGGCCCATAAGGGTCCAAATATGGCATTGATTACATCCATGGCCTCTCGATCAGGTGTCTCCCGACGGGAAAGGGCATCAGCAACGCTATTTGCTTTCCCTGGTTTGTAGATAATGACATAGTCAAACCCCAATAATTTGGATATCCACTTTTGTTGTTCGGGAGTTGTCATTCGTTATTCCAAAAGATGCCGTAAGCTTTTTTGGTCTGTAGCTATAGTGAAGCGACGTCCCAGCAGGTAAGGTCTCTAGGTGCAAACTGCCTCAACGACAGCAAACATTTCCTTAACATAAGTTGACCATTCCTGTTTTGTTGGACCCAAAGCTTTACTCATGAACGCCACCGGGTGCCCTTTTTGAGACAGAACTGCTCCGATTCCATAACTTGATGCGTCTGTTTCAATAAGGAAATCAGTGGTGAAATCTGGGAGTGCAAGTACGGGAGTGCTTGAAACGGCCTTTTTGAGCAAGTTGAACGCCTGACTGGCTTCACTGGTCCAACGAAATTTCCCCTTTTTCAGTAGATGTGTCAAGGGTTGTGCTATCAATCCATACCCCTGGACGAATTTTCTGTAATAGCCGGTCAGCCCCAAAAATTCCCTCAAAGCAGTGATGTTCATCGGCACAGGCCATTGCAACATAGCCTCTATTTTCCTAGGATCCACCCGCACTCCGTCCTTGGAGATGAAGTGCCCTAGATATTCCACCTCCGTTTGGACCCAAAAACACTTAGATGGTTTGATATAGAACTTGTGACACCGCACCCGGACGTACCTGAAAATTTCGTTTTAAAAAAAACGAATAATACACTTCATGTAATGAATTTCCTATTGTCAAACAATTGTAAAACGATTAATGTCTTTTTACGTAGTGCATGATTGATTATTGTACTGGCTGAACTCATATATTAGTGATGGGCTCGCGAATACTTATTTGGGCCTTCTAAATAAATATAAGAGCCCAACATTATCTAAATAATGATACGTAACCTTTCAAGACAAGTTGAGAAAGGTTGGGCAGCCCAAACGTTATTTTGGGCCCAACCTGCTAAAAACAGTAAGTGTTCAAGAATGGCGTCCTAGGCCCACTCGAGGGTGACCCACACGGCTTGTAGCCCAAAAATATAAATACTAACGTCAGAAATAAGTGATAGGATGATTAGGGAAGAATACAAATGCCTATGGTCCCATCTTTGACATTATTGACCTAAACGATGGGAGTATGGTTTTCTTCTATAATTTTCATCATATAAATTATTGGGATGAGTCTACATATATTGGAAATCAATGATATGATGTATAAAGTTGACTTGGTCTAAATAAATTGGAATGGATACAAAAAGACATCTTATGACAAAGAATAAAACAATAGGACTCATCTTTCCATTTTTGGAGGTATTGGTTGATATTTTGGCCCCCAAATTAATTGGGATCACTTGGAAACCACCCCACACCTTCCAAGCACCTGAAAGATAAATAAAATCAGGTTAGATGAGGGGAGGGGCGGCCATATTTTAGACTTAAGGGCTGCACATGACAAAGAGATCAAAAGTGAGACCCACACTAGTAGAAAAATGTCTTATAGTGACACTTTGTTAGTGACACTTTTGGATTTAGTATCACTAATATACGACATATCTTTTATTTTACATATAAGTGTCATTATTTTTTGATACAAAAATATCAGTATAGCATAGTGACTCTCGTACACAAAATATTTATTATTTTAACCTATGTCAAAAGTTGAAACGGGGTCATATGTATAATTTTTGAAAAATTATATTTAGCTCGGGGTCATTATTCTAAATAAAAGAAATATAATTCCATTCGGATCTAATCTCAACCCTTATCGATTGTTCTAACCCCTGATATACAAAATCTGCCTTCACAATGGAAGAGAAAC